CGGGTGTTGATTGTTTTGAGTGTATGGGTGTTGATTGTTTTGAGTCTACGGGTGTTGATTGTTTTGAGTGTACGGGTGTTGGTGCTGAATGTTTTGAGGTTACGGGTGTTGATTGTTTTGAGTTTACGGGTGTTGATTGTTTTGAGTGTACGGCTGTTGATTGTTTTGAGTGTACGGGTGTTGATTATTTTGAGTGTACGGGTGTTGATTGTTTTGAGTGTACGGGTGTTGGTGTTGATTGTTTTGAGTGTACGGGTGTTGATTGTTTTGAGTGTACGGGTGTTGATTGTTTTGAGTGTACGGGTGTTGGTGTTGATTGCCATGGAGTCTAAGCCTGTTCCTGTGAACAAAAAAGTGGAGAGGCTCGGTCATTCACTTCAGTATCTGGTACTTTTTTAAGTACCACCTCGATTGGGGTTCCAAGTGAACCGTACCATTACCAAAACGTGACGTGTAAACTCTGCTGATCACGGATTGGCCGGAGAGAATCGTCACTACCTGCGTTACTGAACGTGTGACACAAAAACAAAAGAACCGCTAGATTTAAATCAGCACAGCCAGCGAAGGATCGAACGCAACTGTTTTGAACGAGCGCACCTTTTTTAACAACCAAAAAGTTTTGTTGTCTGTTGCGGAAGAACAGACGTTCCTCTTGTTGATAGCAGAGGAGCGGATCCAGCGAGAGCTTGATGGGGCGACGCGGAATGAAAAAGTTTATTTTCAGTAGGTTTTGTGTAGTATTTTCTTTACACTTTAGGACAAAGAGCGCAAACATTTTGCATTTTAGGTCAGCAGTGCCATCTAATCAGCCAATATTGTCTTAAATAGCCTGCATACTAGCACTTCATCTTTTATAACATGGGATTTTGACCAAATACATTGAATCTTGATGTGATGTAAAATGTTGCAACAAGATGTTATTTATTTATTTATTTGATTGATTGTGTGTGTGTGTGTGTGTGTGTGTTTGTGAAATATTACAGTTTTGGACATATAAGTTAATACAAATATAAAAAAAAGAAAAAACTTAAAGTAACTACAAAAACAGCATGTAAAGCAAATGTCTTTAAAAGAAATTCCATCTGGAGCATGCCCCCGATCCACGCAATGTTCTCACCTTTTTTTTTTTTCTCTCTGAATATTTAATGTTTATGTAATGTTGTACTATTTTGTGGTCTGGACCTGGGTGAAAAAACACATTACTCAGGCCTAGATTTTAAACAACATTGAAACAAAAAACAACAACAAAAATACCATGGTAATCATACTTTTTCTTCTTAAACTCCATTGTACCATGTATCCATGTTACTCCTGCACAGTCATGAACAATTAATATAGCATTTCCATCAAAGCGTGTATTTGCAATATATATGTGTTGTAATTTGCAAATATTAGTATCACAGGTCTGGTCTAGTTCTTCTTTAGTAATGTGTCTAGATTAAAATGAGATACAGTTTGTCATCTGCCTGAATGTACTAATGTTGCTGTAACTTTTCTGTCTTGTCAGGAAGCATGAAGACGATCTTTGAGGAGGAGCTGGGTGTCATGGACTTCTGTCTCAGTAATAAAACATGTGTCCTGTATGTATCAGAGAGCGATTTGGTGGCAGGAAACGGCTACAGGAGGAAGATTGTCCTATTTAGAAATGTAAATCACTGACTAGCTGTGATTAGATCACAAAATGTTTCATATTATGATAATTCACTGTCAAATAAAACTGCACTCATCTTCTTATTTTAGGCTAACAGTGGTCTGCAGGGTATTGTGATTGTGGAGAACTCATTTGAGTGAGCAGTACTCCAGCGGATTTTGCAGAAGTGTGTGGTTTTGGAGCTGGGTCTGACTCTGCTGCCTGTGTCCAGTGCTGCTGAAGCTCAACTCATAGCACAGCTGGTGTGTGAATGATATGTATTCTCTCGGCATCATCATAATAAAGCCCCCCCCCCCCCCCCAAGGAGTGGCTTCCAGACGCTCAAAACACTTTACGATTCCAGAGGGAGGTGGAGCGGAGGTGGAACAGGTGGAGGGATGGAGGGCCAAGTCCATGTGAAAGTGGAGAGACCGGGGACTGAGGCAGGACCAGCGGAGCAGAGAGCCAGGGCGGAGCCGGCAGTACAGGTGGAGCTGAAGACCACCAGAGCAGAACAGAAGACCACCACGGCGAAGTAGAGGACCACCAGAGCCAGACAGTAGACCGAGCAGAAGACCACCACGGCAGAGCAGACGGAGCAGGAGACCCCCACGGTGAACCAAACCAATCAGGAGACCATGGCAGAGACTGTAACATAGAGAGAGCAGAGACAGACAACACAGACAAAACATTGGGTGTGATAGACAAGGCTGAGTGTTCAGAGGCAGCCTCCTTGGTTGGGTCGGGACAGGAGAAAAGTTCATAAATGGCCTCTGCAGCCCTGACAGGACAGGCAGAGAGTTCACAGACGGTCTCCATGGCCGTGACAGGACGGGCAGAGGGTTCACAGACGGCCTCCATAGCCGTGACAGGGCAGGACGAGGATTCACAGACGGCCTCCTTAGCCATGACAGGACAGGCAGAGAGTTCACCGACGACTGTTCAACGAGGTTCTGCAGCATGCGCCGCCACCTCTGAAGAGACTGCAGTGGACACCATGGCCTCTGGGAGCACAGCAGCGGGCACCGCTACCTCGGGAGGTTCTGCAGCGTAAGCTGCCACCTCTGGAGATGTTGTGGCCGGTGCCGCTGCCTCTAGCAAATCGGCGGTGGAGTAAGCGGCCCAGATAAACCATAAAGCAGCCCCCCATTTGGGAAGTGCTGCAGACAGGGGAATGAGTTCATGAACAGAAGGGTTTAGAGTGAGTGGGTTTGGGGATACCAGCTGTGCATGCAGACACCAGCGGTGCATCCCTCACACTGGATACCAGACTGGGATACCGAAGGACTGACCATGATAATCTGGGTGCCACAGACAGGAC